CACACACACACACACACACACACACACACACACACACACACACACAGAGTGGACCATGAACCAGTCAACGTCATATCCTACTTATCCAACCTCCCTGGGAGATCTTAAACCTGTTTCAAAGTAACCTGCGCACAGGGAGGGAGTCGTCCTATCAAAATAAAGGCACGAACCATGTCATTATCTACGGCTTGTTGCTCATTAGAATTATTATTATTTTTCTTATTTAGGAGGATAGCTCATAGCTAGTTGTCTTCGGTGAAGACTATGCGCTTATTTTAAGTTAGACGATATATGTTGTTTTTTTATTTTATTTCTGTTAAGCACATTTTGTAATAAGTAGTGTATGGTGATAACATTAAAACCCAATCAACTAGCTGAAAAATTACATTATAGTACAAGCTCTGTGTATTTGTTGGCTACTTTCTTATTATTGTTTAACGAAAGCAGGCAGTTAAAGGTATGAAAACAATGCTTTTACTCTGAAAGTTAAACCCGGAAGTTTGACTGATTACCCGAGCTGGCTTGATCCTGGAAAGCAGCAAGTGCATAGGCAGCAAACGGCTGGAATAAGATTGTTTTCAAGCGGACGAAACCTTAGACACCTTCAGGAACTCTTCTGTGTCTATTATGAGTTGACAATTTGGGCTAATTTGGTGTTGTTGTGTTTTTTTCTTCGTGCACAGTTTTTCCAGGAGCCGAGGGGCGACAGCGAGTGTCAGAGGAACATAACCGAGTTTGTTAAAGGCTGCGGGGCTTTCGGTGTGGAGGTGAGTTAATGCACCCGTAATGTGCCCATTAACTGCGGGAAGCCTCGGGTGCAGCGTGTCCTGTGGTTTCACAGAGAGTTTCATTGTTTGAATGGACCCCCTTTTTTTTTTTACTTAAAAAAATGCATTTGTTATAGTAGCTGCTAATGGCACGAGACAGTACTCACGAGCTGAAAGTGTGTCGTTAATGAGTGAATACCTGTGGCTATTTCTCCTCGAGGAAGCATTAAAAACAACGACACAATTGTGTCCACTTGTTTTAATTCAATTCGTTAATTACATATTTATAAACACTGAAAAACACTGGAAGAAGGTGACCTCATAAGAAATAGATCCTAATGGAAGCCCTTTTCAGCTTTATTAATGCTTACTAAAGCTTTGTACATACCTATATGAGCCATTTTGGGGTATTCAGACACATTTAAGCTTTATTACTGTATAATAATCTGTAAATATGAGGCTTTATATCATCAGGTGTGCTGTTTATGTGATGTTCATGTGGTCCAGGCAAACTTGGGAATGATTTTTCATAAAATAAACTCGAAAGTTATAGTTTTTACTAGTTAGTCATTGATAAAGTCTTTAGCAAACGCCTAGATGCGTGGTGCTTTATATAAAAGTTGCACAGTTTTGCTTTTATTTAGACAAGGTGGGCGTATCCTCATATGATACACTCCTCTACCCATGCTGAAAACCACCAGCTGTGGTGTTGACTGTGAGGAGCAGAGCCAGTAAAAGTAGGCCAAAATGAGTTGATTTTCAGTCTGTCTCAAAGATGTTTCGAGCCCACAGGCTTGTATGGCTGTTGCTGCCTGTAGACCATTTGTAGTTATGGAAACAAGAAGCAGAGATAAGCGTGGATGCTCTGTTTTCATTTCTGACTTGGCAGCAGTATTCAGACTGCACAACAGATCAATAATTGGGTATGTTTGTTTTCAGGATGACTATAGTCCAGACTAAAGATGCACCAAATGTGAAATTCTGGGCCCATACTAGGGTCTAAAATAAAAAGAGCTGATGCTAGGAGTGATCCATTTTTATGTTTTTTTATTTATTTGTCATTTTTCTTATCACTTGTTTATTCTTTGCTTCCACGTGGGACACAACAGCTAAACACAGGCCATCACCACAGGTTAATATCCTTTATAATGACAGAGAATGACATCAATGTCTGTCGGTTATATTGGTGCGTTGCTGGTCGATACCATTGAGTTGTGGGTGATCCCATTTGGAATAAGAGAAAAACACAGGTAGTTAATGTGTGACTTGATCATTACCATAGTTCTCATTTGGGGCGTGCTTTAAGTCAAAGGGAGTGTGTTGTTGGAGGTGGAGCAGACTTTTCTGCTGATCTGAATGCTGTTTCAACTACTGCCGTTAATATTTGGGAATGAATAAGCAGTTGTTTGGCACAGAAAGGGTTAAGTATGAAGCTGGATATTGAATTTGTTATAAAATGCTGTGCTAAAAATATCCATACCGCTCTCAGTGTTCAGAATCGCATATTAGGGTGTGTGCTTGTGTCTGTGTTTGCACAACGGCAGGCCCAGGAGCCAGGTTATATCCTGGCTCACAGTGAGTGTGAAGAGAAAGCTAGTAAATAGTGTATGATGTGACACACACACAGCCATGTACACACTATTGATCTTAGCCGTGGAAAAAGCCATGGGGTCATAATTGAGAAGAGTAGATTACGCAACACAAGAGTCAAGGTTCTAGACGTGTAGCGTGGTTTCGCTCAGGACTTGGAAAACAACTGTGGGCTTTTAGAAGAGGAATGGAAGGAGCATGAAAAGATGAAATGAAGGAGAGTAAAAGAGTGGGCTGATGTAATGCTGCACGCCAGGCAGCCCGAGCCAGTGGGTTTTCCAATCAGCTTGATTAGAGGCATGCCAGCCATGTTGCTGGAAGCCAAGGTCTCCATTACTAGCAGTCTGACTGACATCAGCATTGTAATTCTCTCAGACAGTTCTCGGGACAAGAAGAGGGCGAGCCAGACTGTGTGTGTCCAGCACAAGAGGATTAGAGAGCGGGCAATAAGTGCCGGCTTGAGCGTGGAAGAACGCTGAACGTGATTAAGAAGAGCTGCACAGTTAATAAAAAAAACCCAAAAAACAGTCGTGATCATAGATTGGCGTCTGCTGTTAATTAAACTTGACCAGGGTGGGACAGTGATCCTGTGCATTTTGAGTGCCTTCGCTGCAACAGTAGATCAAGTGCTGCCTATAATCAGGTAAGCTGTTTGACCTATGACAGGTGTTTGTTGTAAGTGAGTTGTGACGGTAGGTGCTCGTCTACAGATGCAGGCGAGAAAATCTACAGGGCAAAGTGTAAGACAAGCATATTGCATGCTTGATTTTTTTTTTTAAAGGATTGTCTGAATTTGTAATTGTAGTACGTTTTTTCTTTCAGCCTAATATGCTTCAGTGGAGCTAAAGTAATCCTAGCCTAAATCTTAGGACTCTGGTTGGACAGAAGTAAGAACATTTGTCAGTAACTGCCAAATGTAACACGTAGGATGTCTGTGTCAAATGCATTTTCCTTCATTAGTTAAAGTGCTTTTTTTGTGTCAGGTGTCAGATTGATCAGGGGCCTGCATTAAACGGCTAAAATGTGTTCACATGCAGCTGTAGCACTGTTGCTAAGTCTCATTTTGTGTCTTGGGCCAGTGCCAGTAGGAGAGGTGAACGTGTGAATTAACTTTTGGGTCCACGCTGCTCTTGACTACCAGTCAAGCTTGTATGCATAAATCAAACCAGAGCACTTTCCGAAAAAGGCAACATAAAAGGACAGTGTGGTTTTATTTATTAGATCAAAGCGACTCAGTCTGCGCAGAAACAGAGAATGAAGATTACAGATGTTCTTTCTTTTTAAATAGCTCTATTTTCCAAAGCTGACTTTTATGCTTCAGTATCGCCCCACCTTCACGGCTTGGGAATTTAGAAGTCATTCAGTGTGTGTGGTGTACACAAGATTAGGAGCCTCACAAGTATGTTGATTATGGTTTTGTGTGTCTGTGTGTGTAATGTGGAGATTAAGGGGGGGGGGGGGGGGGGGGGGGGGGGGGGGGGGGGGGGGTGGGGGGGGGGGGGGGGGGGGGGGGGGGGCGGGGGGGGGGGGGGGGGGGGGGGGGGGGTGGGGGGGGGGGGGGGGGGGGGTGGGGGGGGGGCGTCAGACGTTAAGAAATCCTGGTCCAGACTGTAGTTGGAGTAGGGATGTAAGCCCCCCACTAACTACTTGTGTTTCTTAATTTTTTAGGCGGACATACTTCTTCATTATGTACATTTACAATTGTTCAAGTGAACCAAATAGGAAGAAGATATTTTCTTGTAGTCTTGTTTTTTGTTGCCCTTTGTTTTTCAAACCCCTTTTATTTGCTTCCACATTTCTATGTGAGATACATGCACAGCTATTTCAGGAAGGCAGTTTGTGTGATTCTTGATGTCATGCTCTATGAATTTATTATGAATGTGTATTTTCCCCACTTTACGTCAAACCTCTCTATGGTTTATTGCTGTTCTAAAATTCCCTTCATATTCTGTATTTGGTTTTCTCTCCTTGAAGCCTTTCGAGGTCAATGACCTGCTGCAGGGACTGAACTTCTCTAAGGTGCTAAACTCCTTGGTTGCCCTCAACAAAGCTACTGAAGGTAAGATCACTGTGTGTGTGTGAGAGCAGTATTTATTCCATCTCTGCAAACATTTGGACTTTTTTGGAGCATCTTCCTGTTTGGCCACCACATGAATTTAAGATGTATTCAGTTGCATCATGCATTTGCAGATTTGAGTGTTTCTGGGGACACCGTATGTGTGGCACACTCCTCAACCTCAAGGATCAAGTCCTTTGACTCTCTGAACACTCAGAGTCGCTCCTTGAAACTGCTGCAGCCTCAGTACCGCAGCCTGGTGAGTAACCACGTCAAAGATAAGAACGGTAATAACAGCAAACAAACAGCAACAGGGTTAGAAATATTATTGTGTTGTGAAAAAGTTTAATCCTCTAAAGTCCCCTGAAGGTGGTGCCTGCCTGAACACGACTAATAAATAACAGCTTTCTGTTTTCACGTTGTTTTCCGCTCCTCTCGTTCACAGGACATGTCAGAGGGCAGTGGGTGTGGCCAGCTGTTGGTCAGGGCACGCTTCCCCTTCCAGCAGACCAATGAGGACGAACTGTCTTTCTCCAAGGGTGACCTCATTATTGTGACCAGGCAGGAGGAGGGGGGCTGGTGGGAAGGCACGCTGAAGGACAAGACTGGGTGGTTCCCCAGTAACTATGTACGGGAGCTGAAAGGAAATGGTGGGTTCAACTATTACTGCTTCAGATGTTGTGCACCACTGAGGAGAAATAACTCCTTATTGCTTTGGTCACAGAGGACAGTTTGATACCTTTCTGCACATGGGCCTCATGTTAAGATGTTTGACTTTACATATTCCCATCTTCAAGCCTGTCAGCAGATTTAGAGCAGCTTGCTTATAAAATATTTTGAACATTTTGCTTCCATCATGCACGATATGAGCCATTAATATTATATGACAGTTTCAAGTTTTAAAATGCAGTAAAATAAACATTGGAATTGAAAAAAAACCACTCTGCTAATATCAATTTAAAGTGAGGGTTTTTTCCCCCAAAGCAGCAGCGAAGACACACAACCAGATACACACAAACAGACTTCCTGCATGTCTGTTCTCACTGATTATAACTTCCTGACCTCTTTTAGTTGAATGATTTCTCAAGGACTGGACAAGATATCCTTGGCACGTACTGTAATTGAGATTTATTTCATATGTCATATTTCTTTTTGGGTTTGTTTGTTTTGTTCAGAAATTCCCCTCATTCCTCGCCGTTCTTTAACATAGTTGCATAGTTAGGTTTCTTCACCCTGGAATTCAACAATAATCAACATATATGAGCTTTCTCTGCCTTTATTTTAATACTAACATGGTGTTTCTTCTTTTGACATCTTAGGTTAAATTTGTTGGTTAGTTTTGTTGCTTTTGGGGGAGGAAAGGCAGGACAGAAGGAAGAAAGCTTTGCAATAACACAAAGAAAGGAAGTTCCAGAGCTGCTGTATAAAAAGAAATTTCCTGACTTTAACATCACAGCAGAAAACTTCAACCGTGATAACAGCACTCTGAGGAATGGCAGTAAATCCAAATGTCCAGTGGGAGTTGTTTGATGTGTGAGATAGCAGGCTTATACTTGTGATTGCTGTGCCTGTTTGTAGAGTCAACAGCGATGACATAAAGCATTCTTTTTGAGAGCAATGAACCAAGATCTAGGAAAGTGTCTTTCATAGCTTCCTTAGGTTGCTCTTTAGTTTCTGTAGTCTGTCGGGTGAGTTTAAAAAGTGCATTAAGGCGACCATTATCTGGAACATACTTTTGTGCTGTTGTCGCTCGTCTTGCCTTACTTTGCAGTGTCTACAAATAGTGAAGAGAAGAATACGAGAAGGTTTGTGTTATGGGCCACCCAGGGCTGTAATAACAGTGGCCAGGACAATGAAATGACATGACATTGTCGAGTCAATGAGTTATAGCATTCAATCACTGGTTGACCTACATACTGGATCAGCCACAACATTGTCCTGCAGTTGGAGAATGTTGGAGCTTTCATCCCAAAAAATTGTTTCTATGTGACATTTTCTGAGGGAGATTTTCTGGGTGCTCTTGTGCAGCGACTTTTGATCTTTTTTTACTAGATGAGACGTTCGGTATCAGTGCGCCACAGTGAATGGAAGATTTATTGCTTTAGTTGCTATGTGAGCGATCAGAACTGTTACTTTTTGGTTGTTGACCTTTGCCTTTTGATCAAGTTTGTCTTAAATTCTTAGAAAGGAAACTGTAGGGAGTTAAGTTGGTAAAGTAAAACACACAGTGACTTAAGAATGTGTTGTGTTGTTATATGAGCACATCACTTTTATTTTTATTTGACAAAATTTGTATGTAGCTTGTATTTTGTTTTTATCTCTATTTTAAAGCCAGTGACCCTCTTTCTCCATTTTTTTTTCTTTTGTTGATATTTTTAGACAAAACGTTAGACAAGCCAAAGTCTGGGACGCTCAAAAGTCCGCCCAAAGGCTTTGATACCACTATCATCAACAAGACCTATTACAATGTGGTAAGTATCACAATCTTAAGAAATTCTATGTGTGTGTGTGTGTGTTTGTGTGTTTGCTCACCTACATTGTGCCAATGGATGGATTTCTTAAGTGTGTGGGCTTTTGTGGACTGTTGCAATCTGTTCTTTTCCACACATCTATTTAATGATTGTGTAGCATGTAATTGTGGAGCTTGCATAGCACCCCTACGTGTGTCATCCTTGTGTGTACGTGCATGTGTGTGTGTGTGAGTGTGGCGCAGATGTAATGTAGGTTATTTCTTCCATTCCACTGGTTTCTGGGGCAGCCTTGCCTCAGGGTTGGCTACTGCTGATGCTTGCGTGAGTGTTTGTGAGTGTTTCAATAATGCAACAAGCTGCAAAACCTCACAAGACTATCCATCATTGGGTGGTTTACCTGAGTGTGTCTCACACACACACACACATGCACACACAGACGTGCCTGAAGTCAAAGCTGTTCCTAAAAAAGAAATTCAAAAACACGAAGACATAGATAAAAGTTATTGTGTTTTTTCTCATAAAAGAATCCCCCAAAGCCTTAGAACAGAAGCTTTTAAAGTAGAAGATGCATGCTTTTCATCTGTTTGTGTGCTTTTTCATGATTGGTTGCACACTGGCATCGTCTCCATCTCCTCTTATAGATCATTTTTAAATAAAAAAATATAATATATAAAATAATATATACAAAAATATAATTTACAGTTGCTTAAAATGCTGGTAAACATATACTGGCTCCTGGCCTGAGGGGAGACACAGCGCTGTCTTATCTGTCACCGTGCAATTCATTAACCTCATTACTGTGAGGTTTCTGATGTCATGGCGAGATTAGCCAGTTAGCCTGCGGAGTCAGACCCTTGGAAAGCTAATCGAGCCAGGACAACACTACAGTTCCCGAAGGCTCCGATGACTTTCCCTGTTAGTTTGTGACAAATGCGCTTCCCACTGAAAAGCTGTTTCCTTATAAACTCATATAACGCTGTACAATTATCCAAAACCTGAAGATAGACGTTTACAGTGATAGGAAACTGAATGGCCTGGGACTTTTTCACTCTTTCACTCTTTCCTTTTATATTTTAATAGTATCACTTAACATAAGTAATGGAAAATGTTGTGTGTGTGTGTGTGTGTGTGTGTGTGTGATGGCTTTTTCAGGTCCTACAGAACATCCTGGAAGCAGAGACTGAATATTCAAGGGAGTTACAGAGTCTCTTGGGTTCATACCTTCGCCCACTTCATCCCACAGACAGGTAGAGTTATTTTTACACCTTTCGTTGTTTTATTCAACAGAGTCAGATTTTAGAGGGGGAGGAAACACACACAGGCATATCTATTACACTGTCGTAAATCTAAATTGAATATGTATATGCATATATCTAATATTTACACACACATATGACAGAATATATTATTTGCTGTCCCTGTACATTCTGGAGCCAGGCATACTGTTATTATATCATACTGTTATTATATATTTCAGGTAGATCCACATCAGACATGTACTTTAAATTACAGTGCCTTTACCTTGAATACATTTTCCTTAATATACTTTTTCTGTATTATCCTTATAGGGTATAAATGTTTGAAATTACAAGTCAGGTTTTAACAGTACTTGGCTGAATATAATTCATGAAATAGTTGGATCGATCTGACAGGTTATCTGTATATCTGTCTGTATATGTACAGTGTGGTGTGTCACACTTGTGTGTTAGATATTTTCTTACACACCATCAGAGTTAATGCTCTGCTCTCTCCTCTCTTCTGCAGACTCAGCAGTGTTGACATCGGTCACATTCAGGCAAACCTGGAAGACATTTCAACCTTTCAGCAAATGCTGGTTCAGTCTTTGGAAGAGCACACCAAGTCAGTATATATTTATTTTCTTAGTCTTTACTGTGCATGTAATATTTTTGAGTTTTGACTGATGATCTGTGATAGACTGGAGATAGACTGGATGGATGCATGGATGGAGTTTGGACTGACTGGTCAGTTTGTTAGTGACAGACATTTCTTTCTTCTCTGAACCTTGCTTGCTTTACTGAATAAAGTTTGACTGCTGTATTTGCAGGTTGTTAATTACACATGTAGTATATGTTTTTCTGAACTTTGGCTATCATATAACTTCTCTATAGCCTTTCTAAAACATGCACAATACTCAGATGAACTTCCCATGTTCACATCCTGTTGCACTAAGATTACTCAGACCAGCAGCTGTCCTGAATGGACCTTCATGTTGGCGATTATTGTAACAACAGCGACATCTATTGGTCATATGAAGTCATACAACCGGTTTTTCCAGTTTGGACAAGTACACGATGATGATAATGATTTTTTTGGGGGGTAATAAAAATCTTAAACCTGATGAACAACAGCAGCTGAGCCTGTGTTTCATTCGTATAGCTGACGATTGGTTGTGTGTCACTAAATGATCTCTTTAACAGAAGACATTATAGTTTTAAAGTTTGGTCTTGAAATGTTGTTTTCTCATCAGTTTTCACTTCTGTTTTATGTTAAGGCTGAAGGCTGGCTAACACCCATAATTACCACAGCGTGAAACTTTTATCTTTATGTGCAGCAAGTATACTAGGATTCTGCTTTTATCCAGACTGGTATTGTCATGTCATTTGTGTGTGTAGACTTCCTGAGAGCCAGCAGAGGATTGGAGGGTTCTTCCTGGGCCTGATCCCCCAGATGAAGAAAATCTATTTGACCTACTGCTCTAATCACCCTTCTGCTGTCAATGTACTGACACAACACAGGTACTGTCTGATCATTTTAATCCACAGAAAAAAACTTTCTATCCCGAAAGAGTAAGCTTGTGTTGTATTTTGTATATTTTGTCTGTGTGTGTGTATCACAGTGAGGAGCTGAAAGAGTACATGGAGTCAAAAGGAGCACCCCCCCCTGGGATCTTGGCACTGACCACTAGCCTAAGTAAACCCTTCATCAGACTGGATAGATACCCAACCCTGCTGAAAGAACTGGACAGACATATGGAAGTAAGCTTGAATCGCTCCCTGTCTTTCTGCATCTCTGCTAGTATACTCAAGTCCTGCAAAATTTAATTGAATCATTTTATCGAATGATGATAACTGGGGAAGAGAATGTTGACAAGAGGGAAAAAGGTTATTTGTTTTCATGTGCTTAAATCTTGAATCTTGTCTGTCTTTTAGGACCAACACCCTGACAGAGCTGATCTACAGGCTTCTATGACAGCCTTTAAAAGCCTCTCTGTAAGACACATGCTTATCAGTCCTTAAACATTAAGCTAGTCAAACGTAATGTGCATGCTAATGTAGCCCAGAAGTGAGGGGTACAAAGTGTATCAAACTACTCAACCTGCAGAAAGTAACCCATAAGAGGTGACTAATGGTGTCTTGTGTTACATTTTTTGAGTTTGAGTGTAATTTTATGACCTGTTTTTTGTACATTTAACCTCTGTTTCACTGTATCAATCAGAAATGATGTCACGGAGCTTTTGAATGCCTGTTCTGTGTTTCTGTGTCCTCAGGCTCAGTGTAAGGAAGTCAGGAAGAAGAAGGAACTGGTGTTGCAGATTTTAACAGAGCCGATCAGAAACTGGGAGGGAGATGATATCCGAACTCTTGGCCCTGTCCTTCACATGTCCCAGGCCGCAGTTCACTCACAGAACTGTCCGGTACTTATCACGACCTGCAAGAGCTTAACAACACACAGAACCTGTTGTTATCTTTCTGAAATGAAAGGCATACTCAAAGGCCAGCTACTGATTAGCCAGAAAAACCTGAGCATACTTGTCAAACTTCGCGTTTATACAAACTGTGCTGTGTGAATGTACCAGAAATTTATATTCACTCCCACAATGAACACCGTTCAGTTCACAGTTCAATTCAATTTTATTTATACAGCACTTGGCACTTTTATAGTGCAAGGTAAACCCCTGCAATAATCCAATAAAACATCCTATTTTTCAGGAGTCAAATGAATGCTACCTCCTTCTCTTCCATCACACTCTGCTCATGGTCTCTGCCAGCCTGAGAATGAGTGGATTCATCTATCAGGTATGGCACACTTGATTTGATCGCTGTAATTTCCACAGTAATGTTCCTGTCACTAACATGCATGTATTTCTTTGAGGTGTCAAACATTACTAGCTTATCTGGTGCACTGATGAACACTGTTTCTGGTTGGTCTGCAGGGGAGGATACCATTATCAGGAATGCTTATTTCCAGGATAGAGGATGGAGAAAACTTGAAGAATGCTTTTGAAATATCTGGTCAGCCCCTTTCTTCATTTACTACAAGACATTTCAGCTTAGCTCTTTTATAGAATCTCACTTGATTTCAGCATCTTTACACTCATGGCCTGTTTCAAATATGGGGTTTCACAGACAGTTTGCTCCTGGTGATCTCACATTTACATTAGGCAGGAACACTGGGAGTCCGGGCATTTTCGCCAAAACTCTGAGATTCAGGGATTGTTTTTGCACAAATTCATTAATAATAAGAACCCAGAAGATACACTCCTTGCAGGACATGCTGAAAAGCATAAAGTGATTACTGTTGCAGTTTAACCCTCAAGTATAATTTGCTTTTTTGAGGACATATTTAAAAATTTAACATGTATACAAACTATTTTCACAAAATATTTTAAAAAATTCAGAAAATTCAGAATTTTTTTTATTATGTTTTACCTACACTTCTGCTTTTTTGTGAAGCAATATTATTCCAAAGACTATGGAAATAAAACTACTGAGAGATCTATCCAGAACAACTATCAGGACACCCGTGAATGAGTCAGCCAAGTCTGGTATTGTAATTGTTAGAATCCTGCACAGGAGTTGGCTGCAAGTTTACAGTCCAAGAAAACAAAAACACTTCTACAGAAAAGACAGCTTCAAGCTAGATTGAAGTATGTTAAAGACGACCTGGAGAAGTCGTCACACAGTCGTTCACACTGGAACTGCGTCCTTTGGTCAGATGAGACAAAACTAGGGCTCTAGGGCAGAGACGTTGCTTATGTTTGGAGAAAGCAGGAAGAGGTGTACAACCCAAAGGCCAAACAGTGGTGGGAGTATTATGCTGTGAGAATGCTTCAGTGCATCTGCTGCTGAGAATCTCGTCAATATGGAAGGAATCATGAAGAACGACGGATTTGTGAAGATTCTGAAAGAAACCCTCAAGAAAACAAAACTGGGTCTGGTTCTTCGCTTTGTCATCCAACACGCCTCCCACCAGAAACCCAAAATGAATGTTACAGACTGGCCTGCACAAAGCCTTGACTTGAACTGATCTGTATATAGTAAAAAATAGTCAGTTTTGCTTATGGATAAAAAGTAAGGGCTGTCGTACAAAACACAAGTAGCACATTCAGCATAATTGGGAAAATATAAGAATGACTCACTGGGGAGAGGAAGGTCAGGTTTCTTTTGTATTTGTATGATGTGTGTGCTTGTCTGCAATATTAACATCTTCCACTTTGTGTGGGTCATTGTGCAGGCAGCCAGGGTGAGCGCATCCAGGTAGCATGTAACAGTCAGCACGATCTGCAGGAATGGCTGGACCTTCTCACTAAACACACCCACGCTCCGGCTGCATCCACACACAAGACTCTGTCTGTCTGTCACACAGTAAGTCGGCACATTTTCTACAAAATAAATGAATTACAGCTCATCCACGTCATTTCCCTCTAATTTCCTCTCCTCTGATTCCTCCTCTTTTTCCACTTCACCCACCTCCTCCCAGCTGCCCTCTCACCCTGTCACTCCCTCTAGAAACTCGGAGTCTCGTGGAGGGAGCAGTGTGAGCACTTACCACACCCTTCCCCATGTCTCCTTGCATGGAATGGGAATCAGCAGCCCTATGTGGGGACCCCTAGAGCCACCGAGTACCCCCAAACCCTGGAGCTTAAGCTGCCTTCGCCCTGCTCCTCCACTCCGGCCCTCTGCTGCTCTCTGCTACAAGGAGGTGCTCGATTTTATAGTTTATTACAGAATAGATATTGCTTTTGGTGTCCTTTTTTTGCAGACATTTTTCTAAATTCACTTCTGTTGTATTGCGTGATATAATCCAAGACTTGACTGAAAAAGTGAAATCTGAATTTTATTTTTTATCTTTTTTTGAAGGACATGAGTAAGAGTCCTAAGAATGTGAAGAAGCTCCTCCCGAAGAGGAAGCCAGAGAGGAAACCATCAGAAGAGGACTTCACTGTCAGAAAAAGTAAGAACAGAAACTTGAACTTTCAACTATAAAATGTTGCCATGGGGACTTCTATTACTTCATAGCAACATAACTAATAATATTATTAGTAGTGAATCTAAATTTCTTCAGTTGCTTCTATTAGATAATGTTTAAGTACTATAAACTTTAATCTGTCAGAGTCACGCATTTTGCTAAACTTCCAGCTGGACAGCAGTGTAACACTGAATAAAACTGGAATAGTTTTTGAAGCGTCTCAGACTCAAGAAAGTAACTCGTCCATTGTGACAGCCCATTAAGTACATTTCTATCAGATTTTATGAATGGAAGGAGTTCTCTCTAAGAGAGTAAACCAGCATATTCATTTCATTAGCAGAAACCCAGTTTTTAATAAAAACAATGCATAGTTCTCACCTCTGCTGAAATCCAAACTGTGTAGATTTTCTTTGGTGATCACTTTAACTTTGATATGTGGTTGAAGTTGGAGTCAGCCTTTATTGAATCTTTTAGAAAGCTGTACAGTGAAGAAATGTCCACCAGAGGGCGTGTAGGTGCAGTCTCATCAGCTCAGTTCCCTGGTCTGCCCTTGTCTCTCAGGTACAGCAGCTCTAGAGGAGGATGCTCAGATACTCAAAGTCATTGAAGCTTATTGTACCAGTGCCAAGACACGACAGACTCTTAACTCCAGTGAGTACGCACACATCCATCAGCGCAACATATGTACATACATAGTTGCTGTGTCTTATTGGAAACCATTGTTTGTTTTCTGCTTTTGGCTCTAACAGTTTTTTCTCTCTTCTCCTTTTATGTCTTACCTCACTTCCTCTGTTTTCCTCATGCTCCAATTATTGTGTTAACTGTTAACATACACATTGTGCTACTGGGTTTTATTAACATCATCCATTTATTTTGTTAATTTTGTCATCACTATGTTTATATTTTTTATCCCATACAACCTGGTTTTCTGGTTTTATAAATTATCGGTTACACTTTCACTTTGGTTTATATTCCTTCCTTCATCCCCCAAACATTCAATTTGGTTTTTCAAATGCCGTCCATTGCTGGTTCTGTAAAGCCTGGCAAGGAACTGACCTCATGCACAACCACGTACTCGCTGACAACAGCCTCACAGTGGCTGGCTTGCCTGGCAACCCTCCGTGTTCTGACCAATCAGAGGACTCGGATTATGACAGTATCTGGACTGCCCATAGTTACAGGACTGCCTCATTTTCTCGTAAGATATCGATGTTGCAAACCCCGACATGATGCTGAACCAGCTGGTTTACATAGTGATCGATATGTACAGTGTTGTGGAAAAGTATTTGCCCACTTCCTGATTTCCAGGTTTTTGCATATTTGTCACACTTACATGTTTCATATCATAAAACACATTTTAGACAAAGATAATCCGAGTAGCTACAAAATGCAGTTTTTAAATGGTAAAATTTTTTTTATCCAAACCCTTCTTGGCCCTGTGTCCAAAACGAATTGCCCCATAAAAACTGATTGTTTCCCCTCTTGGTAGAAAGGACTACAATCCAGCATTTGTGATAACTGGAAATTGGTCTTTTACATCAGTGTGGAGGAATCTTGGCCCACTTGTCTTTGTAGATTTATGTTAATTCAGCCACACTGGAGGGTTTTCAAGCATGTACTGCCTCTTTAAGGTCATGGCAAAGCATCTCAATCGGATTTAAGTTTAGATTTTTTGTGTTTACTTTCATTATCTGTGTCTAATATTACAATTTGTTTGATAATCAGAAATATTTAAATGTGACAAATATGGACAACACTAAGAAATCAGGAAGGGGGCAGATATTTCTTCAAAGCATTTTATATATTAGTGTAGTGATTCAAACCTTCCCCTTGCTGTCCGTATACCTGTGTGCTGTGTGTCTGTGCTGTATAATATGTACACAGTAGTTATCTCTGTGTATTACCCTGTGTGTGTTCTCATTAGCATACAGCAGTCTGCTAATATACCTGATAGTAAAGTCTGTTTATTGCTGTTTGAAATGTATACAAACAAAACAAGCAAGTAGACAAGTACAGTAACATAATAACTGGTGATACGTTCATGACAACCATACAGATTGCCTTTCACTGCAGGTTTAACCTCCTAAGACCTGAACTCTTCTATGGCATGCATTTTTAATTTCTCTTTGATATTTGGGCATATTATGACCCAGTGAATGTAAAAACAAGGAATCACCAGATTATCTTTTTTTACCTGATTTTTGTTTCTAAGAAAAATGAGAGCCACATATGAGGATATTCTTTTTAGATTTCGATAAAACAGAGACAGTATAATGTCCTCGTAAGTGGATATCAGGCCCTTGTAGAGCAAAATTTAGTATTTTGGTCTAGACAACCCAAAATGTGATGTCCACATATGTGGACGCCGGGTCCTAGGAGATTAAGTGCATATAGCCTCAGTCAGGCTCCAGGTAAAATGAAACAGATTTCTCAGTGTGCACTTATGGAACAGACGTCTGTCAGAGGTTTGTGTTTGAAAGTGCCACATTTCATTATCTTATATCTGCCAGCAGTGAAGGTAATATTATATCATTTGCTTGCTTGTAGTTTGTAAGGCATCACCTGTTAAAGCCTCTGATATTGTTCTTTGAACTGTATGTTTACAAGTTGAAATGATAAGAGGTTTGTGCATTTGTCACACAGGTTATATTTTTTATAATAACCTGACTGTTGTCGATGTCGAATCAGGTTCCAGTAGGAAGGACGTCCAGGTGTTGTTCCCAGAAGAGGAGAAGATTATAGTGGAGGAAACAAGGAGCAATGGACAGACTGTAGTAGAGGAGAGGTGAGAGACAAAGATGTTTTTTTTAATGTTTGCTATAATGCTTACATACAGAAAACTGATACTGCCTTTGTCATCCCTGTGGGCATGCAGTTATTATGGCAATAAATAAAAAGAAACGTTTTAAAAATCGAAGGCATAAATATGCTTAATGAAAGTGGAGGATACTAAACAGAATCTCAAAGTATATAAATCCTACATCAACACTCATGCAGAGACTTAAACATGTGAAACTGTGCATATTCAGTCAGTGCTGGTGAAGCTAAATAAATAAGAACTGTTTTCTGTGCCTGCAGGAGTCTGGTGGACACTGTGTACAGCCTCAGAGACGAAGTCCAGGAACTCAAACAGGTCTGTCTCCAGTTCTTTTAGAAACAAAGTTATTGCTGCCAAGATCTTCTTACTGTAACCAGTTTATTGCTCGTGTTTTACATAAAAGGTTCAAAATTAGGTCCAAGAACACAGATGGTCTCCAAGAAGTTGCTGGCAGTGTGTTTGAATGCATGCCTGCATGTTTAATTAAGGACACATGCTGTACTGTCAGATCCTTTATCCTGATACAAATAAAAGAAATTAGGGTTTTGGTTCTACTGACAGAATTACTGCAGATCATTAATACTTTGGAGTATTTTTGTAGTAGCTACAAAGTAGGGATGGAGGCTGTTTCTAAACAGAGATCAGGTCCTGAATGAGTAAAAATATACTTAGTGTGGAGCACAGCGCAGTGTCAATGTTTTTTTTACTTTGGTTTCAAGACAAAAGTTCCATATTGGTGTAACGGAGCAGCTGAAAGAAGCCTTTTCTGTGCATCGATGCTATTTATGACCTAGATCACTGTGGTGGCTTTGACCTGACCTTTTCTCTGCCTGTTTCTGCCTTTGCATGTTCACTTTATTTTTGGCGATGAATTTGATATCTATTGTCTCTCTTTTGATTTATTTTCATCTATTTTTTTCTCCTTATCCTTTCACCCTTCCTCCAGGACAACAAGAGGATGAAGAGGACGCTAGAAGAGGAACAGCGGGCAAGGAAAGAGCTGGAGAGGATTGTGAGGAGAGTTCTGAAGAACATGAACGACCCGACCTGGGACGAAACAAACCTCTGAGATTTGTGTCAGACACTGAAGGATGAGATTAGTTCCTGACTTTTTAATGACTTGGAAATCATTGAACCTGTGTGGACAACAAGCTGCTTATAGTTAATTCATGCATTATTAATGCAGCATGTCTCCATTTCCACTAGCTTTGACCTTCACAGTGACCTGTGTGCCAAACTGTGGACCAATGTAAAACACCTGCCAGCTGTTGGCAAAGCTGTCCCAACTGACCTTAAAGCTGTGAAGCCATACTAGCCTGCAGGCGAGCTGATTAGCCATCTTTGAAACACTGACACGAGAATCAAGACTTTTTTTTTTCCTGTACTTGTGTACTTCTCTCTCATTCCTTTTTAGTGCAACATTTCACAATTGCTAGGAAAGTGTTTTACTGACTGGCCTTGGGCATGAACACTAGCTCTACATGGGCGTATATATTTCACAGATATTTGAGCTGTGTGGACGAAACTCCTCCTTGAAACTTGAATTTTATTCCCACACTCCACATTTTATTTCTCATTTTCTGATTTTAATATAATCACTTTGGTTCACTGATTTCTGAACTTAAAAAAAACTACAAACTTTTTAAATGCAATCTAAGTCTACCAGCACTTATAAGAGACCTCACAGGTTTTACGGGATTAAATTGCATTTTTAGTGTTGTGTTAATACAAAAATGATCCATATAAGTGCATAGCCTTACTGATATTTGCTTGGACCTACTGTGTCAGTTTATCCACCTCTGGGTTTAGACAATTGTGCTTAAACTTGTCAAATAATAAACAAGAAATCATAGAAAAGGGTAGTTGCTGAAAATAAATCAACAGTAGTTAATGTCAAAAGGTTTCTCAGGAATTAAGATGACCATCAGGGAGTTCCAGATTCACATCCATTTCAAATTTCACATCCAAAGCAATATCTCAAAAAAATTGATTTGAAATTGTAATGCAGGGTTACTCATTTTTTTTGTAATGATAAAATAAAAGGAAAAAGTGAGATGATAGCATTGAAGTAAAGAAACAGCATTTTGCTCCTGATCAATCTTATGGTTGTGAAATTAATAAAATGTATAAGCTACCTTTAAAAACACATCTTAACTTGTGGCAACACATTATTTATCATATGTACACTGTAAAATAAAAGTAATAAAAATGTCAGGGAACAGTCCAGAGTGTAGGAAATAGTCTAACCCTAAAAAAACCCCCAATGTAATTCAAAATATCAACAGAAACCATGTAACAATATGAACACTAAGAAAACAATTAGGTTTTTATTTTATTCCACATAAGCGCCGGTACACTAAAACGATGCTCAGAAAAGCTCCCACATTCGTTTTCATGCAGTTCTAACAATTTTTTCAGAGGTAAACGAAACACTCAGAGTGACGGATCTGCACTCCTTCTTTATCAATACCAAAGGCAAAGCAATACAACACTGGAAAATCTTTTTTATGATGTCAGTACGCAACTTATTGTACAATGTTTTTTTTATATATATATACATATATATGTTTGATGTTATGTTTTTATTCTGGCTTTGATTTGTAACACTCGTTGTTTTCTACTTGACCTCGTCGATCACGCTAAGGTGATTTGTACAGAAAAGCTACGCTTTTCTCGTGCCATTGGGAGAAAAAATCTTTTGTTAAAGCTTTTATCTTTAAAACTTCACTTACAAATGACATATTACTGAAACCAGAACCACATTAATGTAAGCTATGTAATACAGT